ATTAAATAAAATTAAAAAAAAAAAAAGAAAAAAAAATGTTTAACAAACGTTAACGCCTTTTCTTTTTCTTCTTCTCCTCTCCTCTTTTTATTTATTATTTATTAAAATAAATTTATTTCGTGATTATTATTATCATTATTATTACGATTAGCCAGAAGGAAAATGCACGCATATTATTATTATTATTATTATTATTATTTTATTGTAATTAATTTTATTACGATTATTATTTAAATTTATCAAACAGAAAAAAAAACAATGAAATGGTGACGATGACGATGACGATTCGTCGTAGTGATAAAAATTATTATTATTATTCTTTGACATATTTAAATTTTTAATTATTATTATTATTAGCTAATGATAATTTATGTGTTATTGCAAAATCCGTGTTTGTTTCGTTTGTTTGTTTGTTTGTTTCCTCGTACGCAATTTCACGCGTAAATTCCAAGAGGAAAAAAAAATAAAAATTTATGGGGAGTTCCCGATTTAAAAACAAATTTGGGGAGGGGGAGGGGAGGGAAACAAACGAACTGAAAAGAAGGTTCGGATTAGAATCGATAAGTAATAATAATAATAATAATGATAATAATGAAATTTTCGGACGAATAAAGGCATGCGAACGAATCACCACAAACATCACTAAAATATTAATCACGTGAAATTTTTTTTTTTTTTTTGTAATTTAATTTTTAAGCACTCATAATAATGATGACAATGATAATAATGATGATGATAATAATGATGATGATGATGATGATGATGATGATGATGATGATGATAAATCGCAATTCATCATGACGTTTGTCATCGTCGTAAAAAGTTTTCTATACGGGGGGAAAAACAATTAAAAAAAATTTTTTTTTCGTCGTATATATATTAAATAATAATTATTATTATTATTACGCGCGAGTGCGTGAGTGCGTGTGTGTGACAGTAAATGTTTTTTTTTTTTTTTTTTTTTTAATCAATCGACCTTTTCTTCGGGTAATAAATAATGTGTGTGTGTGTGTGTGTGACCATCAGTCACGAACTTATTACTTAAGTTAATCATTTTTAATACACACGTTTGTACAACAAATACTAAAAAAAAAAAAAAAATTTTTTTTTTTATAACTATCATCATACGTGACGTTATTTTTTTCTTTTCTCCAGTATTTCTCCAGCAATAATATAAGTATAATAAAAAATATATTTACATAACAATTTCATTAAGAAAAAAAAAATTATGCGATTTTTTATTTTTTATTTCGGTTGTTATCGACGTAATAACGAACGAACACACACGTCACTGGAGAAAAACAAAATTTATTTAAAATAAATAAAAAAAAACTGGAACCGAAATTAGAAAATTTTCATTTGATTCCAGATTCCAAAACCGAAAAATAATTTCTTTTTTTTACGTAATAATAATAATAATAATAATAATAATAATAATAATAATAATAATAATAATAAATGAAATTAATATTCTACGTGAATTTAAACGTATATAAATATTTTTACGTATTTTATTCCACGGTTAAATTTTTTTTTTTTCCGCGTTTGAGTCCCCATTTAAATTCGTAAATTTTATTTTTACGGGCCCCCCTTTTTTCAGGGGCCTTTTTTTTAAAACGTAACAACGATTTCGAACCCAAACCCCCAAACGTTCTTTAAATAAAAAAAAAAAAAAAACGAGGACGAGAACATAAAATGATTGGCAATCAACTGGAATTTCACTTTAACGTTCTTTAAAAAAAAAAAATTCATCGTGTTTATCCAATAATAATAATAATGATGATGTTTGTGAGTGCGTGCGTAATTAATTATGCGTGCGACCGAATTTATCATTTTAATTATTTGCAAACCTTCATTTAAATTCTTGTTTTTTTTTTTTATTTATTTACAAAACAGGTCGTTTCTCCCTCTCCCTCCCTCCTCTCCTCTCCTCGTATTTTAACTACTTCTCGTCTAGTTAGTTAATTATTTTATTATTATTATTATTATTTCGCATATGTGCATATCCTTAAGGAATAATTATTACTCGGTAATAAATTCGCCCAGAGTAACAAAAAAAAAAAAAATGGTCATTTTAATGAGACTAGTTAAATATGATTGAATATTAACTTGGATAAATTAAAAGTATCACACAATACTTTAAAAGAGAAAATATTATTATTATTATTATTTTACATTAACCGTAAATTTTACGCGAAAAAAAAAATAAAACAGGACCGAAGGTTATCATCGTTGCCATTATTTAAATAACGGTTTTTTTTAATTCTTTGAATATGTTTTGAAAAGAAAAAAAAAATTTTTTTTTACCCTTTGGCCACATTCCCACAGGTCCGACTGTTCGACTTTTATTTTTTTTTATTATTTAATTAAAGTTTTGCATAATTATTAACTTTTTATTTGTTGTTGTTGTTTGTCGGTACAAACGAAATTGTATGTTTTTAAAAAAGGATGGAAAGTTTTAATGACGTTATTAGGGGAGGGAGGCAGTCGTATTAAAAAAAAAAAAAGAACAAACGACGACGACTACGAGTTCAACAGGATTTTATTTAATTTGCACGAGGCCAAAAAAAAATTAATCTTTTACATAAAATAAATAAATAATTTTTAACATAAAGTGTTTATTAAATATTATTATCGACAGCAGCAGCCGCGATCATTTTAATAATTTTATTAACACTTTGGGAAAAAAAAAAGGAAAACTTTTCCTGTTTTCGTCTCGATTAATTCGATTAATGCGTTATTATTATTATTACCGTAATTTTTTTAAATATTAATTATCAAACTCTAAGTTAATAAGTAAAAAAAAAAAGAAAAATTAATATTATTATTTAAGTGTAAATTTTTAATTGAACGTTTAACAACAGAGTAAAATAATAATAATAATAATATGCAGTACAATAATTATATTATTAATTATTTCATGCATGAATTCAAGTGAAAATTTCTTTCTTTTTTTATTTTTTAAATAATTTATTATTATTATAATTTTTTTTTTAAAATTATAGATTATTATTAAATAAAAAAAAGTGAAAGATGACGTTCGTTTTAAAACGAGAAGAAAAATTTTTTAAATATTTTATTAATAATTTTTAAGTATTTGAAATTTAAATTTGGGTATTTGTGATGACACCCCTAAAGAAAATGAAAAATGGTAAAGAAAAGGTATGGAAAATGTAACAACAAAATCCGACACTTATAAATAATAAAAATAAATAAATAAATTTTTTTTTGTTTAAACAAATTGAATGTGCATGTATGTGTATGTGTGTGTGTGCGTGTGGTCAATTTGTAAAATCGGAAAAATTTTTTTTTATAATTCTTTGTTGTCGTTCGAACATTTCCATTTTCAAATGAAAATTTATAAATTAATTTATATATATATTGTTATGATCCCGTACTCAATATTCACATTTTCAACTTTTTATAAACAAAAGACTGGCGACGAACTCAAATTGTTCTTCTTTAGAAGCGAAGCTTCTAAAGACTCCTTCTTTTATTTTATTTGCAAGTGTTTGCTCGAACATTCGAAACAGTTGACTGACGAAAGACCAAAGTAATATAGGCAAGCTACACAGCTTGGCGTTGGTTCATTTTTGATTTTTAGTCTAGCTGTAATAAGTTCTTGTTTATTAATATTAGTTTTGTGATAGTTTTAAGTGCTTGTTCATTACTTACAAAAATAAAGAACGAACCGAATATAACATATTAAAATTTTGGCGCAGTCGACGAAGGA